CGCTCACGTCCTCTGCCTAGCCGCCGAGGAGCATGCATTGATGGGATCGAGTAGGATGTAGCATCGAGGATGATCCAGGAGCGAGAAGGAGCATCGAGGAGGAGGAGGAAAAAGTATCTCCGCCTTCCTTTTGGGTCTGCCTCGGGCACTCTCCCGAAGCGCTTCATGCTCCTCTGGGCGCGCTCCGGCCGTCCCGCGGCCCCCTCCCTTTTCGCTCCCGCTCTCCTGCCCCTCGTGTGCCCAAGTCGCTTCCGACGCGTCCGGCCGTTAGCCGGCCGCCTGCTGGATCCAGTTCGCTTCAGATCAAGAGCTCTCCACCTTCCAGGGCTCATGCCGATTTCTCCGATTCGATTCGATTCGTTCTCGATGGCCTCCGATTCCGATTCGGTTCGCCTTCGGCTTCCGATTTGGGCTCTCCACCTTCCCGCCTCCGTATCTCCGTCCCTCCATCTCTCGAGTAGCAGCAGAAAGGCGTAACAAAGTTTCGGAGGTCCGCGCAGATTTCTCGAATCGGCGCTGGAGCCCTCCCCCAGGCGCGCACAGCGCGCTACGAGGGGCGCTGGAGGTGCCGCCAGAGGAGCTCGAGCGCCGATCCGCAAAGAACCTGCGCGGACCTCAGGAAGTGTGTGTTTATGCCATTGCTTGTTCACCGAATCTCGTCGTCGTCGTCGTCGTCGTCGTCGTCGTCGTCCTGGTCGTCGGCGTCGTCGTCGTCCTTGGTGTCGGCGTCGGCGTCGGCGTCGTCGGCGGTGGCGTTGGCGTCGGCGACGGCGGAGGGGGGACGAGGCGAGGGATCGCGGGAGGGCCCACCCCCCCCTCGGGATTTCGCCCGTGCCCCTGCCTGCAGAGCGGCGGTGGTCATGCGGGCAGGCAGGGCGATGGCGACGACGACGACGACGACGATGACGACGACGATGACGGCGACGACGACGAGGATGAGGACGAGGACGAGGACGACGACGACGACGAGGATGAGGACGACGACGACGACGAGGAGGAGGAGGACGAGGACGAGGACGAGGACGACGACGACGAGGACGAGGACGAGGACGACGACGACGACGACGACAACGACGACGACGAGCCAGTCAGCCGCGCGCTTGATGCGTCGCGGGGGTTCCTCCCCCACTCGTCCCCCATTCCTCCGCCTCTCCGTGCCTCCACCTTCCAGCACCAGCAGCCGGGCGGCACTCGGAGCGTGCGGCGGCGTCGAAGGCGGCGCGCCTGCCTCACCGACTGGCTCTGCCCTCGCCGTGAAGCCATCGGGCCCTACGGAAGCGGTCGGTCTTTGGCTATGTTCGGCCTCTGGAGGGCCTCAGCGGGCCCCTGGGCCGTCAGAATAGGACTCAGGATGGACATGTTGCCCCAGGGAAGTCGTCCGGACATCCGGTGGCCTACGCATCGAAACAATTTGAGCGCCAGGTGTTTGGGAGCGGGTCGTGAGGGTGTCGACCGACTTCGGGTTCTGGGGGCCTTCCACGGGCCGTGGGACTGTCGGAAACCGACTCGGGATGAGGATGAGGAGCTCGTTCTGGGGGAAGGCCCCGACCCGTTCTCAGAAGCCGTTTCCTTCATGCCAATGTACCCGCTTTCTCCCACTCCTCCTCCTCCTCCTCCTCCTCATCCTCCTCCTACCTCCCGCTCTCTTGTGTCTCCGTGTTTCCATCTTCCCCCCTTGCCTCTTCGCAGCTCCGTCGATCCATCTCTCTCCCGCCCTCTCACTGCCTGCCCGCTTCTCTGCATTCATCGCCATGATCTTATCATCAGCGTCGTCACCACCACCACCACGATCACCCCCTCCTTCCTCAAAGGCACGACGACACGGCTGAACGACCTCCTCATCGGGATCACAAGCGTTGTAATTCCAATGCGCCATCGTCGTCGTTGTTACCATCCTTTCATCATCATCATCGTCATCATCATCCTCATCCTCATCCTCATCCTCATCCTCATCCTCATCCTTATCGTCATCATTGCCGGCGTCATCGGCATCGTCGCCGTTGCCATCAACACCATCATCACCATCACTTCTACCACCATCATCATCGCAACATGATGTGCCGATGCGTGTTGTCTGCCCTTCCGCACAACTTCGGTATGTAGTTTCTGTCTGCTTGTCTGTCTGTCTGTCTGTCTGACCGACTGACTGTCCGTCTGTCTGTCTGTTTGTCTGTCTGTCTGTCAGTGTGTCTGTCTGTCTGTCTGTCTGTCTGTCTGTCTGTCTGTCTGTCTGTCTGTCTGTCTGTCTGTCTGTCTGTCTGTCTGTCTGGCCTCTCCCCTGCCACCCTCACTGCCCTGGAGACTGCCCTCGAGCCCTACGGCCTGGAGCTCAACCACGCGAAGACTGCGGTCTGGTCCCCGAGCGGGGGCGTCGTCGTGCCGCCTGCGCTGCGGCCCCACTACGTGGCTGTTCTCCCGGTGCTTGGCAAGCACCTCAGGCCGCGGGGGGACACAGAGGACAACCCCGCAGCCCTCGGGACGCGCGCCAACAGCCTTGACAAGGCGACCCTGCGGCTGCAGAAGCTCTGGGACACGCTCTACCGGCTCCACCAGGCGGGCCTGGCAAAGCAAGCCACTGGGGCGCTGCTGCCGACCTACGCCGGCGCCGCCAGCCAGCACACCCTGCGGCAGGAGCTGGCAAGCGAGGAAGCCACCCAGCGCTACGACGCCCGGCTAACGCGCTGCTGGGAGACGCTGCTGAGGCGCGACTTAAGCGGCGAAGCCAGGGAGCTCTTGAGCCTGCCCAAGCGCCTTGGCGGCCTCGGGGGGCAGCTGGCCTGCTCGCGGCGGAACGCCGCCTACCTGGCCTCCTGGTCTGGCGCGGCCGAGGAGGTAGTGAGAGACCTGGAGTGCAGCTCGCTGCACGACGCTCTGGAGCGCCTGCCTGCCGCCGCGCGCAAGCTGGAGGAAGCGAGGCAGGGCCTGGGCGGGCAGGGGCTGCTGCTGGCGGACGGCGGAACACTGGCTGACAGCCTGGCGCGCGAGCTCAAGCAGGGCTTGGCTATGGAGAGGGTGCAAAAGACACACCACGCTGCACTCCTGCAGCGTTTGCCCCTCCTCCAACAAGCCACTCTGCGAGGGCAAGCTGGGCCGGGCGCGGCAGCCTTCCTGGGCTACCCCACCGAGGCGCTCTGCGCGCTGGAGGACGCGCACTGGGAGACGGCTACTCGCCTCCGGCTGCACCTCCGGAGGCCCGAGTGCTCCCGGGACCAGCTCGCGGCGGCGACGGCCCACTGCTGCCTGCAGAACGCCAGCGGCGAGGTCTGTGGGGAGCCGCTGGACGACCTCGGCTACCACGGCGCCACTTGCCAGAGCGGCGGCGGGGTGGTGCGCAGGCACGGCTGGCTGGCTCGGCGGCTCGGCGGCCTGCTACGGCGCTGGAGGCACGAGCTCCCGCTCTACGAGCAGCGGGTCCCGCTCTGGGACAGGCCGAAGCCGGGCCACCCCGGGGAGACAGAGCGCGCCGTGCTCGACCTCGAGTTCCAGGACGACGACGGGCGTCGCTGGCTCGACGTGTCCGTGCGGCACCCCGCCGCGGGCACCGAGGCAGAGCAGCGGGTCGCGGCCCGTCGCGACGGCGAGGCGAGCCGGCGCGGAGAGCGAGACAAGCACGCTCGTTACCCTGGGGAGCGCCTCACCCCGATCATCCTCGAGGCAGGGGGGCGGCTCGGGGCCGAGGCGCGCCTCTGGCTGAAGGCAGAGGTGCGACGCCTGCCTGACGCCGAGCAGGCCCGCGAGCTCGCCCGCGCGCACCGCGTGCTCTCCTGCGGCCTGCAGGGCGAGCTGGCGCGGCAGCTGCGCGCGGCCGCTGGCTTGCGCTGAGCCGACCGCGGGCGGCGCGCTGGCGCCTGGCCACCTGGGGCAGCTGCGGCGGCGGCGGCGGCGGCGGCGGCGCGCCGGCGCCGGGGCGCTGGCGGCGACTGCGGCGCCGGGGGCGCCTGAGGCTCCCGCGGCGGCGGCGGCTGCGGCGCGCGGCGCTGCGGCTGGCTGCGCCGGAGTCTGCCGCGCCGGGCGCCACCGCGAGCCGGCGCTGCGCCGCTGCCGCGAGCTGGCGTGGAGCCAGGCGCGGCGGGCCGGCGCCTCGGGCGGCTGGCGACCTGGCGACCTGGCGGCGGCGGCAGCGCCTCGGGCGCCTGGCGCCCCGGCGGCGGCGGCGGCGCACTGCTTGGCGGGCGGCCACCTGCTGCGCTGGCCGGCGGCTGGAGGGCGGCGCAGGGCGGGTGCCGCCGGGGCGTCGGCTTGGGTGCGGGCAATTCCCGCCCCCTGGGAGAAGTCCTGCTGGGATTTCTCCCGGGGTGGGGCGCCAGCAGCAGGCTGCGCCTGTGTGCTGGCGCGGGTTTGCCTGTGCCCTTGCTAATGCTCCTCCCCGAACAGACTTGGTGCGCAGAGTCTGTCTGTCTGTCTGTCTGTCTGTCTGTCTGTCTGTCTGTCTGTCTGTCTGTCTGTCTGTCTGTCTGGGCGGCGAGCCCAGGGGGAATGTGAGAAGGGGCAGGCTTCTTCAGAATGCTCGGAAGCCCTCGGGCCTCCTGAGAAGTTTTCGATGTCTTCCCCGAGGACACACAAAACTTCTCAGACGCCCTTCTCCTTCTCACTTCCCCCTCAGGCGCGCCGCCGACTGTCTGTCTGTCTGTCTGTCTGTCTGTCTGTCTGTCTGTCTGTCTGTCTGTCTGTCTGTCTGTCTGTCTGTCTGTCTGTCTGACCGTTTGACTGCCTGCCTGTCACCGCCACACAGTGATTATCAACATCATCACCAGCCGCATCATCAGCATCCTCATTCTCAACATCAAACCTCCTCCGCGGTGCTCGGTGCTGACGGAACCGGGGTCTGATCCAATCCCCCTCCTCTTCCCTCTCTTCCTCCTCCTCTTTTCCTCCTTTTCCTCCTCCCTTTTCTGCGCCCCTCCGCCAGCCTCCTCCTTCTTCGTCCTACTCCCTCCTCTTCCCCCTCTTCGTCGTCCTCCTCGTCTTCCTCCACCCCCTCCTCGTCTTCCACCCCCCAGGCAAGACGACCCTGCTGAACGACCTCTTCGGGGACTCGAGCCACGTGGACAGCCGGGTCTTCTCCATCTGCCTCGCGGAGGAGGGCGGGCGCCTCACCGTAGGCCACAGGGGGTGGGGCCTTTGGTAAGGACGAGAAGCGGGAGGGGGGGGTCCCTGTTCCTCTCCTCCCAATTCACCTCCCTCCCTCCTCCTCCCCTTCCTGTTCCTTTCTCCTTGTTCTTTTCCGTCCTCATCCGTCATCCTTCTCATCCTCCTCTTTCTCCTCTCTGTCCCTCGTCTTGACGCTGCTCGGACTTAACGCAGCTGAGCTGGAGCGTAACCTCTTTTCTCCTTCTCCTCCTCCTCCCCCTCCTCCTCCCCCTCCTCCTCGTCCTCCTCATCCTCCTCCCCTTCCTGCTCCTCCTCCTCCTCCTCATCCGCTCGCAACGGGGTGTGCCAGCTCCACTCGGCCCCCTCGCTTCACGCAGTCCAAATCGCGCAGTCCTCCTTCGTCCTCATCCCTCCTCCTCCTCCTCCTCCTCCTTCTCCTCCTCCTCCTCCTCCTCCTCCTCCTCCTCCCCATCCTTCTTCTTGCCTCCTCTTCTTACTCTTAGGGCCACAAAGCGAGAGAGGGCCATCGTTCCTCCTCGTCCTCCTTCTTCTTCCTCTTTGTCCCCTACACAATTACTCAATATGAATACTACTCTCCCTCTTCCCCTGATGACGTGCTGGGTGTGTTCGCCCCCCCCCCCCCCGCGTCCTGCTTTTTTACACACAGGATTCCCGGGAGTTGGGTTTTTGCTTGCATATTTTTCAAAATGCTGCTCTCGCTGAGGCGCGGGCCTCATTTTCGGGCCTCCGCTCGTTCCGAATCGTGTTCCCGCTGCAGCGCTGGCCTCATTTCCGCGCTTCCGCTCGTTCCGAATCGCGCTCTCGCTGCAGCGCTGGCCTCATTTCCGCGTTTCCGCTCGTTTCGACTCGTGCTCCCGCTGCAGCGGTGGCGTCATTTCCCGTGCCATGCCACGGCATGCAATGCAATGCTAGGTTGATACTACGCTTTGCGGTGCTCTTCTACGCCATGCCATGCCGTGCTCTACAATGCATCGCGTACCCTTTCGGGATGATTGCCCTGCTCGACATCCGAGAGTGCGAGTAGAGAGGAGAACTACGCCATGGTAAGGGATGGGAGGGAGGGGTAGGATGTCAGATATGACGCGAGCGCACCTAGCTTGTCCTACCCCCTCCTTCTCCTCCTTCCTCCTGCGACTTGAAGGCTTAGTCGAAAGGACAGGGAAGTCCTCCTCCAACGTCCATCTCCATGTCGCTCTACCAGGCGTGCCGTTCGTGCGGGCCTGTCGCTCTGTCGCTCTACCAGGCGTGCCGTTAGGGCGGGCCAGACGGTTCGCCCGAGACTTCTTCGCAACCAGTGTCCCGAAGCTCGAAGGGCCCAATTCTTATACACGGATGGAGCACCGTGTTCAACGTGGGGCCCTCGCCTTCAGCTGCACAAGGGCAGGGTGGTTGGCTTTCGCAATGGAGCTCTCGCGTTGCCACCGCGTACATTCGCTTTCAACAGTTCCAACAGTTATACGGATGGGCAGAGCGGGGGACGGTTCCTTTTCAGCATGTGGCTCCCGCCAGAGATTTTCGAATGTCCAGGGCTCGAAGTTCAAAGCCGTGCACAAGTTGCATGGACGAGGTGCGGCGTCCTTCGTCAGAGGCATTCCCCGGGGTTCCTTGTGTTCCTTCGTTTGGGTTGATCACTTGGATTTCTCTAGGCGTTCCCCGGGGTTCCTCGTGTTCTTTGGTCTTGGTTCTTTGTTTGGGTTCCTCGGGGTTCCTCGGGTTCATCGCCGGGGTTCCTTGATTGGGTTCCTTGAGGCATGTCCAGCAGCGCCGAGCAACGAAAAGCAATGCCAAGCAATGTAGTGCCAACGCAATGCCAAATAATGCTAAGCACTACCATGTAATACAAAACAACGCCAAGCAATGCCACACACTGCCAATGAATGCCAAGCAATGCCAAGCAAAGCACTGCCAATGCAGTGCCAATGCATTTCCAATGGAATGCCAGTGCAATGCCAGTGCACTGCCAATGCAATGCCCAGCACTGCCAAGCAGTGCAATCTCATGCATTGCAGAACAATGCCGAGCAACGCCAACCAATGCAAGAAATGCCCAGTAATGCCAAGCAGTACAACGCAACGCAAGTCAATGCCAAGCAATGCAAAGCAATGCCACGTAATGCGCCACATGGCATACTTCCTTATATACTTTCGTCCGTGGTTGCTTAGCCACTTCCTCCGAGAGCTGTCCTCTACTCGGGGTCCCGCTGCTCACTGAACAGGCCGTTCTCGATAGAGATTCCTCCCCGCATGCTTCAGGCAATAGCTTTGCAGCAGTGCAACATACACGGACGGTGGGCGGATTTTGTTCGAACTGGAGTTTCCGTTGGACATTTCCGTGAATTTTCTGACGTGCTTCCTTGCATTTCTCACAGCTCGAGGATGGAAAGGACAGATCCTTTACAAAATGAGGTCTCGCTTGGTTGGCTGGCCCACCGGGCGTTCGTCTGTCTGGGGGTCGTGTCCGGCAGTGGAAAGCAGCATCTGTAGGAATGTACGGGAGGATGTAGTGAAGCATATTAGGCGCATCTTGGGTTTTTCCTTGTCATCCTCCTCCGCCGTACTCGTCTTCATCCTCCTGCCTCCTCCTACTCCTCTTCCGTCCTCCTCCTCCTCCGTCCTTTCCCCCCCCCTCCTCTCCTCATTTCTCCTCATCCGGCCTCCCCCTCCCCCTCCCCCTCCTCCTCCTCCTCCTCCTCCTCCTCCTCCTCCTCCTTCTGCCTCCTCCTCCTTCTGCATCATCTTCCTCCTCCTCCTCGTCGTCCTCCTCCTCCTCCTCCTCCTCCTTCTCCTCCTTCTCCTCCTCCTCCTCCTCGTCCTCCTCCTCCTGCCTCCTCCTCCCCCATCCTCCCGTAGCCGTGCTGGCTCAATCCGCGGGCTCGAGCGGCAGGCTCGCTAGTTGCTTGCCCCAGCGCGCTTATTGCCGCTCGGCGCCACCTCGTGGCGCCCCCCTTAAGGCGGCTTCTTCGGGGGGGTCGGCAAGTGGCCTGCGCCCGCTCGGGCTGGTCTTCGAGGCGTTCGGCAAGTGGCCTGCGCAAGATCCTCTGCAGCACACTCGACTCCAAGGAGTAGCGCAGCGCTGCCAGGATCCATGATGGTCATGAGAGGAAGTGGCCACGTGTGGCAGCAAACCGCCTTCCTCAACTACATCGGCGCGCTCCTCGGGGCTTCAGGCCAGGCGGTTCCCTCTGCCACGTTGGCTACTTCGTCCAGAACTCCTTCGGGTTTTGAGGTCGCTCCTCCCTCCTCCTCCCCCTCGAGCTAGGGCGGGGGGGCGAGAACGCGGTCACGATCTGTGCGGTTCTTCCCTCCTCGTCCCTCCTCCTTCTCCTCTTCCGTCCTCCCCCTCCTGTTCCTCCCTCCTCCAGCCCCTCTGGTCAGAGTTTTTTTTTCCGTCCGTCAGGGGCGAGGCACACCGTGTAACGTACACTTCGATGGGGTGCCCACACAACTCATGCGCGGCTGGTGTCTTGCAGCGATGACCTTGCGTATTCTGGGGTTCAATCCGTTAGCAGCGACGGAGGCACGGTTGGAGGACATCGTGGCCGAGACGGGCAACTATGATTTTATTCTCTTCGCAGGGACCCAGTGCTCTAGCAGGCTGGCGGAACAGGTCCTTCGTCGTCGAGTCCTTGGACGACTTGCCTTGGAGGTGCCCGCCACCCTGGAGGCTTTCTCGAATCGGATTTGTGGGTACTCGGTAGTATTGCAGTCGGGGGTGACGGAGTCGAATATCAAACGTGTGTGGCCCAGCCCTGCTGGGGCGGGAGGGCGGTGTATCGCAGTGCGCATTAAGAACGGACCCGTGGACGTGTGCTTGATTTCAATATATGGTCCCCTCTCAACCTGTTCGTGCGGCACGTAGTGCGTATTTTCGCGTAGTGAAATTGTTATCGAATTGGCTTGGCGACGTCCTCTCGACATTGCCGTGCAGATGCGTACCGTTCGTCTTCACATACCTGAACGACGGCATAGGGGAATCGTGGGGCCAGGGGGGTTGGCACGTACTGTTTTCTCTTGCGGTCGGATGCCCTTCCACAAAACGATTGCGCCGAGGCGCAGGACATATGTTTCGGGAGGTGCTGGAAGCCCACCAATTGGTGGCAGGTAGTACCCTCACCATGAAACCCATCCCGGCTTTCTTCTCACCTACTTCTCGTGGTTTTGAGACTCGTGTGGAGTACATCGGGTACCCCAGGGGGCTCATCAACAAGGTCACGTGTTGTCGGTCGCTCTTGGGGCCCGGCGCAAAGCTACAAGCGCACAGAGGCCCCGCTCCCAAGGACCACCTTCCCATCCACCTGGACCTCCCCTTCTGGAAGGGGGGAGGCGACCCCCCGACGCAGCCGCTTCAACTGACTTGGAACCGCTCGGCCATGATGGACTCTTTGAGGTGGGGCACGGGACGGGCGGAGTTCCTCGAGGCTGCCAAGAGGGAGCCCCAGAGACTTCCAATGGGCTTTCTTTACCACCGGGCCTCCCCCGACGAGAGCTGGAGGGGGCGGTGGTGGGAGCTGGACAAGAACGCTTCGCGCAACCATCTAGGCCTAGCCCGACGCACTCAGAGCAGCGTCGTCAACGTAGGGCGGTCCTTCACCGCAGAGCCCAGATCAAGGCCAAGAAAATCGACGCCTCCCAGGAGCAGGCCGATTGTCTAGATGCTGAACTTAGGGGCCTGTCGCAGCGGCTAGCCAGGGAACGCCGTGCGCATGTGCGAGCACAGCGAGGCCGCCTAGTGGAAGAGGCGACTTCCGCTTTCAGGTCTGGGCGGCATGCCGAGGCCATGCGCGCGAGCCGTGCTGCTGCCCGCTGTCGATTCGGTTCTAGACACAGAGGCGGTCGGCTTATTCGTGCTCCTCTTCCTACCTGCGCGGTGTGGTTATCTGCATGGGAAGGGGAGGGGAAACTGGAGGTATGTCGGCGGAGGAGATCAATTGGGACGAGTGGAGGCGCCGGCGGGCGGTGGAGGAAGGCTACGAGCCCAACATGGATGCGGAGGTGGGGGAGTTGGTGGAACAGGACTTTCAAGCTATGAGGAGGTACGTGAGAAGAGCACCGAAGAGACGCGCCGTCCCCGACGGCACGATGCCACTCGAGCTTTGGCACATGCTGCTCTTCCCTAATTGGCGTCGACAAGGCAGGGGCGGCGTGGGCTACGACCATGCTTCCCTCAACGTGCGGATTTTCTGGGACATATTGGGACTTGGCCTAGGTAAGATTCGAGCTCATGTGGCCTCGCCCCTGTGCTGGCACCGTTCACAGGGAGCGGCGCTGCACAAGAATGGCTCGCACGGTCCGCGCGGGCGCAGAGTGGTGCGCGTCCTCCCAGTGGCGGGTGGTGCCTTTTATGCGAGGTGGGCTTCAGCGCAGGGCACGATTCAGGATCACGGTTCTGTGGCTGGTCGTCGGCGCGAGAATCCAGTGTTGGTATGTCAGATCGTGAGCCATCGCCTTCGTGCCATCAAGCAGACGCATTGCGTGGCATTCAAGGATATGACGAATGCATTTGCCAGCGCATCTTGGAGCCCGATGGATACTTGCATGCAGTTACATGCCCGCCCAGATGATGTCGAACTTTGTCGTCGACGATATCGTTTGTCTACTATCGCGGTGCAGAGGGGGGGGGCAGGGAGATAGTCATCGAGACGGGGGAGGGAGGAGTGATGGGAGACCCGTTCGTAGTGAACACGTTCTTGCAGACGTTCGTTCGGCCGATCATGCAATGGGGGAGGGCTCTCGTGGACAGCGATCCGATGGCGACGGTGCTCCAGGGGAGGGGGGGGGGGGGGGGGGGGCGCGCGCTTCGGGCCGACCTCTCTCTCCTCAAGTATGCGGGCGACTTGAACAAAACCTGCCTGGCTGAGAGTGGCCTCTCGTTCACGGGTTTCATTCGAAAGCTTTCTGAAGTCGACCGCGAGTTGAACGTGGCCCTCGAGGAGTACGGCCTGGCATAGAACGTGGGCAAGCAGGAGTCTATGTTTTTCTTCGATGGTCGTGGGGCCCACTACTTCAAACGTCTAGCGAAGTCGGCTGGTTCTTTTTGGCTCGCGGGTCGCCCCGTGGAGGGGGCGCGCTACCTGGGGCCGCACCTTGCGCTTCGGGGGACTGGACATAACGAGGTCGAGCGCCGTTGTGCGGCAGCCCGTCGGACGTTCTTTTCGCTGGGAGGGGTGCGGTCGTGACCGCTGTTCCGACGATGCATACGTTCGCTCCTGATCGGTGTTGTCCAGAACACCCTCCTCTCCTGCCCAGAGCCCTTCGTGTTGACCCCAGGGATTGCGACATGCTGGATTCTGGCCTGGCTGGTTTGGCCGAGATCGCGACGAGGGGGGCGCCGTTGACTGGGGGGGGGGGAGATGAGCACACAGGACATTCTCAAGCACTGGGAGATGATAGGAGCGAGGGAGGAGATGCACATCCGCCGCCTCCTTCTGCGCCAAGGGTAGGCCAAGGGCCCCGAGGGCTCATCGCAGGTTGCCATAGCGCTGTTTGGCGCCCTGACTATCGACTCGGACAGGCGCCCCACCAGGAACGGCCAGCTTGCCAGGTGGGCATCTCCGTGCGTTCGGCAAGTTGTCGCGGATCTCGAACTGGCAGGACGTATCTTCGTTGACTTCGCGTCGGGCGCTCGCCTTTCCTCCGAACTAGAGGCCTGCGAGGACCTTCGGGCTGTCGATGTCACGAGGATTAGTGGGCGGGCGCCAGTGGCGGCGATTCTCCGCCGCCAGGACCGCCTAGGCCCGAGGGCTGGATTAACCCCCAACTGCCCCGTCGGGAAGCTAGCCCTGATCGGCACCCCCAAGGTCCACGCCCCTTCTTTTGCATATGCCTTGAACCCGGGTGTGATGTTGAGTTCTACACGCGTAAACAGCTACTTCACCCCCTTCGCTTTGCACATCATAAGCGTAATCTGGCAGCAGTATTGACCCCCATCAATACATGCACTTGCTGCAGGCATACATTCCGAGATAGATGACGCGCTGGACGACACTTACTTATTTCGATGATGAGGGGCCGATGTCCGCCCCAGGGAGGTCGAACGCTCGCGTCTCTTCTGCAACCTCGTGAGTGCTCTGGTGAGTTTGGGGACCTGGACTCTCTCTGTAGCCATCTGGTTGCCCAGCACCTACCCGTGGCCGTCTCCAGCTCGGCGGCCCTTCAGTCCCAGCGCCGCGGTGCCCGAGCAGCCTGTGGCCCCAGCTGCTGCCCCCCTTCCGCCCTGGTTCAACGCGGGTTTGAGTCCGCGCAAGAAGCGCAGAGGCGAGGACAACGACGGCGCAGACACCGAGGCGGCGGCGGCGGCGTCGGCGGACGGGGCAGGAGCTTCGGCGGTGGCGGGGGGGGGGCGGGGGCAGCGTCAGGGGCAACAACGCCGCGGCGCTGGTCACGGCGACGGCACGCTTGGTCCCCACCAACTCCCGCGAGCTGGCAGCGGTCACCGCAACAGTGTACGACAGGATGATGGCGCCGGCGGGCTGCCCTCCGGTGGAGGCGCGCGTCAAGGCTGGCAAGGCTTGCGACGACCGCAGCCAGGAGCCTCGCCAGGCCGCGAAGAACGGGGACGAGGTCGACTGGAAGTCGCGGGGCAGCCCTCACCTCTACATCCTGATTTCGTTCCTGTCAGCGGGCTAGGCGGCGTACGCGGACGAGGAGATGCAGGATCTGGTTCGTGGGGCGCTGGCGGAGGTCTCGAAGTTGGAACTCCGAGAGATGGGCCAGCTGGTGCGCGTGTTCAAGCTGGAGGTCCACAAGCCGCAGGAGGGCGTGCAGAAGATGGCGCACTTCACGTGGGCCCTCGACCATTCGCACTATGCCGCCGACGACCTGAACGCGACCATCCACTCCCTCTTCACGAAGGCAGGCGGCACGAGGTTGACGGGCGCAGTTCCGCGGGGCCCTCTGGAGAGGGATATCGGCCGCCTGCTGCAGGGAAGGGCAAGGGCAAGGGCACGGCGTAGGTTCGCGGTTTCTGGCATCGAGTGAGAGGCTGGCTATGCTTGTGGCGCGTGGCGTAGTCTCGGCTGAGGTTGCCGCCAGATCGACGGGCCAGGTGCAGTCTGACGAGTCTTACGAGCACCCCGACCTGCCCCACATTCCCATCACCACCCTTCTTCCCGCGAGGCCCTCCTCCGCTCGCCTCTCCTCTGCACGCAAGGGACAGGGCAAAGGCAAGGGTCGCTCGAGTTTTGGCTGACAGTTTTGGCTGGTGCCTTTTTTAACCTCCGAGCCGACCTCAAAAGGGCACCGACCCGCCAGTTTTTTTTTTATTTCCAAGTCGGCTGCAAAAGGTCACCGGGCTCAGTTTTGCTTTTCTCCTCCTGCCCTTCAGGTGCTAACAGTTTTGATGTGATGATCCAAACGTGGGCATCGCGCCCATCGGCCTGCCCCTCAAGGGATAGTGTGCCCTGGAGGGTGTAGGCTAGGGCCAGTGCCCGCCGTGCGGGATCGTGCAGCACGCCGCAAGGCGCATGAGACATTCGGCGGTGGCTGGCCACCCCTTCAGAGTCCGAAGTGGCTGCCCGAGGCTTACACGCGTAGCCGAGGCCGCAAGGAGACTCCGTGAGATTTGTTTGCTTGCTTGCTCCTCCCTCCTCCTCCTCCTCCTCCTCCTCCTCCTCCTCCTCCTCCTCCTCTTCCTCCTCCTCCTCTCAGGACGCGGTCCGAAGTGAACTCCGTCGGTTGATTCCTGAATGGGCCAACTTTAAAATCGCTGGCCACACGACTTATCTTGGGGTCGAAATGGGTCCCGAGGCAATTCTCAGTATGATTTGGTCCCCAGCAGCGGAGAAATGGTGGACGCGTACAGTTGCGCTACCACACTCAGGGGCTGCGCCGTCTGTTCTGTCAATGTTGTACAACACGACAGCCCTCTCGACCCTGTCGTATCTTGCCCAGCTCTTTCCGATCCCCGCCATGATTCGTAAGCTAGAGCATCAGGCATTGCACAAGCTGCTCAGGCTCCCGCCGAACAGCCTCAGCCTCGCCGATCTGAATGCCCTCCCATCGTTTTTAGCCATTGCCCCGTCCTCTGTCCAGCTGCTTGGCTGGGCTAGTGCATGGCGTACATCATTTCGCACACTGAATCATGTTTGGCAGAGAGCGTTGTCTAGCCTGAAGCAGCATGCGCAGGACAATGCTACCATCGTTCGCATTATTGCAGGAAAGTTCTCGGCACCGTGCTGGCGGCGACCATTTTCAATCGCCCAATTTCTAGAACGTTCAAGGTTGCCGCCTCCTCGCTTCCCTAATGCTGCTGGGTGGCGAGATGCATTTCGAGCAGCGCGCGAGCACACCGCACGTGCGGAACAGGAAGCCCTTCGCCCTCATCCGCAGAGGATATTTGCACGCACGCTCCGCCCATTTGCCTTTCCCGATTCCTTTCACACCACTCTTGGCAAGAGGCTGCTCGCTTGGCAAGTGGAGATTCCTGGGGGGCTGAGGTCGGTCGTTGGGAGGTGGGCTGCATGCAAAACTTGCCTTGCGACCCTCAAGCCGTCCTGGCAGTGGAGCATTTTCAAAACGCTGTGTGGCGCGTGGACGACCACCCACAGACTCCATATCGGGCACCCCCCAACCAGCTGCGTCTGGGGGTGCACTGCCCCAGATGCGATATCGCACTATTTGAACTGCCCAAGATTATATTATCATTGCGCCTGCCACCCAGCATGGGCACGCAGGCACTTTCCAGCCAGCCCGCTCACTCTCCTAGGCCTCGGGGAAGAGAGCGATTATCAGATCGAAGGCGCCGAGCTCAGTCGAGCCGAGTGCCTTAAGGCGACAGCACTTGCCTTCCAGATGTACCATAAAGCGCCGAGGGCGCAAACTATGACATTGCAGCAGGCCACCGACATTCGAGGTGCCGCAGAGTTGGCACTCGAAAGATAAGCACGTGCCCTCTTCTTTATTCGTGTTGGGCCGGTGTGAATATCAGGGGTGGGGGTCACATTCATAACCTAGCTTGCTGTGCGATCGAGGGCTCTCTCGCACAGCGCCGCGTGCACTCTCAATCTCTCGGAGGGGCTGGGGCAGGTCGGGCATGGGTTGGATGTGGGATTGACAGAGGCACCAGAGGCGTTGGCATGTTGCGGTCGATGACTCTCCCGCAGTGCCCTGCGCCTCTCGGCTCATTCTTTAGGGGGGTGGGGCCTGTCATGCAATGACAGGCTCTGTCCTTCCACCCTCTTTTTTTGCCCTCGTTCGCGAGGCGAATCTCCTCACATCTGGTCTGCTGCGAGCGCCATTTTTTGCGCGGGCCCTCCTGGTGGCGGAAGTGGCAACGGGTTGCGACGCCCTTCGGGAGGCCGAAAATGAACCCAAGCGCCACCCAGCTGGGACCCGCTCTCCCTCTGTCGATGCGTTCGCGTCGACCGAGGTCGAGGTTGGCGGTCGGACGGACCTTCTTGGTTACGTCGTCTCTTCCTCCTCCTCCTCCTCATCCCTCCTCCTCCACCTCTTCCTCCTCCCTCCTCCTCTTCCTCCTCCTCCTCCTTCTCCTCTTCCTCCTCCTTCTCAGTGCTGGCCCGCGAGGGGTGCGGCCCAGCCAGCCTGCAGCAGGTGATGCGCCTGGTCAGGGGGTGACAAGTTGAGAGGAGAGCTCGACCGCAGCACCCCTGGAGAGATGATCGCAAGCCCCCTGCTTGGGGCCGTTGTCGGCGGCGATCGGGGGGGGAATTGAGAAGGAGAAGGCCTTCTCCTTCTCATTTCCCCCCTTCGCTCGCCGCGGAGACTGAGTCCCCAGAGATCCGAGACCTCGAAAATATTGGAGCGACCGGTCTGTGGCAATTTTCGGTCACCAGGGGCCACTAACGGGCCCCAGGACCGTGAACACGGTATTCAGGATGAAAAACCAGCCCCTGGGGAAGTCGTCCAAACCTCCGGGGTCCACGCATTGATAAAATGGGAGCGCGGGATGTCTGGGTCCACACCGAGCGCATGACGGTGCAGCTCACAGCGTGCGCTCCAGGAAGGGTCCGCCTTCGAGGAGTCGAAGTAGTTGGCATCTCTTCCCTGGCGGGAGGCGGCGGAAGTAAAGCGGCGGCGGCTTTGCTGGCGGAGGCTGGCCGAAGGCCGCTTGACGCCGGCGGAAGTAGACAGTAGCCCTCCAAGAGATGACAATTTGTTGGGGCTCAAGTGCCATGCGGATAGCACACCATCTGGCAGCCAGGCGGCATCGGATGTTGTTAGTCCCCATCTCTCGCAGAGCTAACTCTCGTCGCCAGCGGTCTAGCCGGCATGGTGAGCACGTTCGGTGGGAATCACAGCGTTGCGCGTGGAGGAGCGGAGACATGAGGACTGGGTATATTTGAGCATGGGCAGTCTGCGGAGTGTGGTTCATGGCAAGCCATTCCATTGCGAGGTGTCCCACCTCATGGCTGCACATGCAGGCGCTGCCCATGGCACTAATGGCAGTACCAAGGGCAGGTGCTTGGACGGCAAGTTATGTGATGGCGTTTCGCCTGGGGGGTACTAACATGCACTGGTGAAGATCCACAGCGCATACCCCACATTGTGTTGAAGCCTTCTGGGCTCAGGGAGTATACGGCACAGTGCCTGCGTCATGTGCCAGGACCTGGATCGATGCTCCAGGATGGCTGGAATACCCCAGAACCAGAACGCATAGAAACACCGCAGGCTGGTCCTGAGCAACAGATTGCCACGCCACACCTGGCCTCCTTCTCTGGTAATGGCATCGGGGTGGATGCCTTCATGTGCTTTTGGGCGCCGTACATTTTCCTCGTGAGCTGACTGCCTCCGGGGGCGGAGTTCTTAATCGTGTAATGCTCAATGTATCCGACGGAGTACTAGCTACGATTCCCGCAGCCCGCCCCGAGCGGATGATAGTTATTCACATGTCAGGTGTTTCCTCCTTAATGAAATCCTTGTGAGTTGTCTAATGTGTAATAAAATTCTAAGTACAATTCTTTTGGCAGGTAAATCAGCAACGTCTCGCTCAAACTGGTGCTGTACATCGCCCGCTCGCTTCTAGCCCGGGAGTCGAGAAACAGTAGATTTGCGAGCATGGGTGAGGCGCGGCTTATTACCTGCACGAGTGGTGGTTGCGGAGCAGTCGAGGGCACCAAACTAGGTCGGGCAGGCAGCAACGGAAAGTGTGCAGCCAAATGAACATCGGGCGAAGAGAACGATGCACATACACACATACACCCTCTCGGTCCTCTTACGTAGGCGGTCCACCTCCCTCACTAGCGGATTTATCATCGAGGCGTTTAAACGTATTGTCAGCGTTGCAGTCCGCCAGTCTCCAGGCCAGTCCGAATGCTCATAAGGTATCAGCTTGGCATGTTGGCACTTCTGGCGTCCTGCTCGATCCGAGATGTGACGGCAGTGCATGGTAAAACGCACACGTGCATCGTATACATGTTCTGACCCTGGGAGAGTTGGGACATCTTGCCTGGGCTTACAGTCGCCCTCACCGCTGAGCCGACCTGCTGTACGTTGTACTACAGAGAAGCGTTTGCTTGTTTGCTTGCTTGGCATGCTGGCACTTCCTGCTCCTGCGCGAGTGCCCAGCAAGACGGCCAGGGCCTCAGCACCCAGTGAGGGCAGACCTGCCCAGGCGAGCCTGCCGCTCGGGCGGCAAGAGTCCCACGGGCAGCGACGTCTTCTCCACGATGGGCGGCGAGTCAGAGGAGGAAATGGTGCCGATGCCGCTGCTCGTCCTGGGGCATCCTCCTTGCCACGAGACTGTATGTTCTTCGAACCTGGAATCAGAATTCAACCCAGGAGGGGCCCGAGGAGTAGCGGAATCGGTGTCTTTTGGTTTCTCCGTTGGGGGCTCATAGCTGGAGGAGCTCACGCGCACGTCTCTGGTAGCGACACCAGGCTGGACGGCGGAGGGGCGTCGCCAAGCGCGGTGCCAGCGTCAATGTCGTCGCAACCACTCAAAGTCTTCTTTGACAAGCGTGGCCCGCGAGGTTGGCTGGCTGGCTAAGCTATCTGGGCAAACACGGAGCATAGGTGTGGCGTGGATCAGGAGACTACGACGAGATATGTTGCTTGATCAGAAGCTGTGAGGGCGTCGTATGCCAGTTTCCCGACCCGCCCTGCAGACGCGCGCCGTCGCACAGCGAGGACGAGTTGATCATACGGGAGATGGGTTGAGGAGGAGGAGGAGGAGGAGGAGGCGGAGGAGGCGGAAGAACATGAGGAGAACGGAGGAGGGGGAGGGCGGATGCTCTAGCGAGGGAAGTGGGAGGAGGAGGAGGAGGAGGACGAGGACGAGGACGAGGAGAGGGAGGAAGAGGAGGAGGACGAGGAGAAGGAGGAAGAGGAGGAGGAGGAGGAGGAGGAGGACGAGGACGAGGAGAGGGAGGAAAGGGAGGAGGGGAGGTGGAGGAGAAGGAGGAGGAGGAGGAGCAGGAGGAGGATGAGGAGGAGAAAGAGACGGAGCAAGAAGAAGAGAGGGAGATAAAGGACGAGGAGGAAGAGGAGAGAGGAGGAGGAGGAGGATCAGGAAGAGGAGGAGGCTGATGAGCAGGAGGAGGAGGCTGAGGAGCAGGAGGAGGAGGAGGAGGAGGAGGAGGAGGAGGGGCGACTGAGCCCCCGCGGAGCAAAATGTCTCTGCCGACCCCGGCCTCCCCGCGCCCGGCGGGCGAGATGAAGTTCTCGATCGGGGCCCCCGGCGCGCTGTGCCCTCCGGTTGGCCTGCTCTCGGCCTGCCTGCGCTGGCTCGGGCGCCCGCTCCTGCCCAGGGGCAACGCTGGTGGTGGAGATGCCGACTCTCCTCCGACGTCTCGCCGATGCAGCGGGGGCGTTCCTTCTGGAGCGTGCCCAGGGGGCTTCTGATCGTACGTGAAGGGTTCCTGATCTGATGAGGGCGGCGGTGGTGTCCATGGTCAAGCCCGAGCTGGTGTTCCTCCGGCTTCTCAGACCCTGGAGTCCGTATCCAATGGTTCCTTATATCGAATGCCCTCGCCGTAGTTTTCGGGGCCCGGGATGGTCTCCATCAGCTGCGCCTGTCTGCGCCGGGTCCTGCCCGCCGATCCTGCGCAGGGGCAACACTGGAGGGGGTATAGGCTCGTGCATGCTCTGGGGAGCAGCGTCAGGCTTGAGGTTTTCGGGAGTTTTCGTCGGTTCTCGGCGGTTTTCCAGCCTCGGAATACCTTCCTGCGGCTGCGCCTCGCCGAGAGAGTTCTGGGGGTGCCCACTGGAGATCCGAGTTCTGAGTCGAAAGCCAGACGACGATGACCACTGGGGATTGGCTCAGGCGGGGATGCATCGACCCCCAGTCGCGCACTCACTGCCGACAGGGGCCTGATAGCTCACCCCGCCCAGGAAGGTGCGGATTCGCCATCGAGGGCCTATCGCCGATCCATCGTCGATGTGTCGCTGATTCCTGGTCGGTGTTTCCGCCCCCCCCCCCCCCCCCCGTGAGCTGGTCCCCCCCGACGTTTCCCCTCACTTGCTCCTTGCCCACGCCATGCACGAGGGAGCAGCCCTGTCTTTCAACGTGTCGAGCAAAAGTCAGTGTAGATTTGTCCTTCATAGTTTCGGCGTCTGGGGGCTATGATCTCGGGCTCCAGGGTTGTCGAGAAACGACACGGGTTGAAAAAGCAGGCCCGGGGATATGGTGCAGAGGGTGGGGGTCCAGTGATGAACAAGTCAGGACATTAGAGGTCTGGGAGTGGGGAGGATATTGCAGGAGGGAGTCGAAGAAGAGAAATCAGCCGCGCGGATTTCTTGGGTCGGCGCTAGACCCCCCTCCCCTGGCGCGCGGAGCGCGCGCGCGACAGGGGGATCGAAGAACGAACAAATCGCAGAAACACATATGCCTTCGTAGGAGTGCGCGGATTGCTTGGATTGGCGCTGGGAACCCTTGACTCAAGCTCCGCCGTACTGTGGTTGATTTTCCGACTTCACATCGTGTCGGGAGTGAACCCCAAACGATGCGAAAAAGTAGAGCGGAAATTTCCGCCTCAGAAGAAGTAAGGTTGATATGCCAGCAAGAAGTATATCGGAAACAGCGACGGCAACGTAGGGCGGAAATCGGCACCACAGGAGCTTGACAAGAGGGGCGGGAATTTCCCGCCGCTACTGTCGCAATCGCCCAAAGCACGGCGGATCCGTAGTCGGGGCCTTCCCCTGGCTCGCGGAGCGCGCCAGGGGCGGCGCCAGAGTGGCGGTGCCGCCAGGATATTTCTAGCGCCGACCGAAGACATCCGCGCAGAGCTCCGACGGCTCATGTCGCATGGCCATGTGGAGATTCTGTGGGGGGGGGGAAGCAGGAGGGAAGGTGGGCCTGGGACGAAGCAGAGGGGGGCGAGCTAGGCCCAGGAGAGAGTAGGGGGGAAGGGGGGATCTAGGAGGAGATCTTGGAGGGGGGCCAGGTCAGCATCATCGAACCGATCCCCATCCCCACCGGGCCATGACGCCGCAGCCCACCCGCCCAGGTGGGGATACTGCCCCGCGAAGCCCTATCCCCACCCAGGGGGGCAAGTCGGCCAGAGGCCCATGCCAGGCCATACCAGTGGGGATCGGGATCGGTTCAACGATGCTGCGGGTGGGGAGGGGAGGGATGGCAAGGCAGGGGGGAGGTGGGGGGGGGGGCCGGGGGGGGGCAGAGGGGACGGCTCCTCCTGGAGTGCACGGGAGGCGGCTCCAACAAGACATACCACACCGGCCAGGTGGCCTGTTCTGGAGTTGCTCTTCTCGTTCACTCTGTCTTTTGTTCTTCTCTCTCTCTCTCTTTCTGCCTGTCTCTGTCGCTGTCTCTGTCTCTTCCCTCACTTGTCTCCCCCCTTTCCTTCCCCTTCCGTCCTCCACGTCCATCCAAAATTCCTCCCTTCCGTCCTGCTTCCGTCCCTCCTGCCCCTCCCTCCCTCTTCCCTCCCTCCATGTGATGTTTTTTTTTCTCTCTTTCTCTTTCTCTCTCTCTCTCTCTCTTTGTTTGTTCTCTCTCTCTCTCTCTCTGACTCTCTCTTGGCCACTACACCCCCCCGTGCGTGCTTCCTCGCCTTGCGCATCTCCCTGGTCCTACCTGCTGCCCATCCCGTTGGGGTTTCTCTGGCGCTTCAGCTGGAGTGTGCCCTGTCCCGTCTGTGTGCTCTGTTGTGCGGATCGGGGTGTTCCACCACAAACCGTCGATGCCGGAAGGCTCCAGCCTCGTCCGAAGTGTCCTATCCTATCCCAGACGCCCGACGCCCTGAGTTCCTGAATTCGGGGTCCCCGGAAGTCCCGACCTTTCACCCAGAGCCAGCTCTTCACCCCCAAGTGGTTGTTTGACAGTCCCTGGGGCCTCACGAGGGCACCCAGAGGCCGAAACTGCGAAGAACCTCCGCCTGGAGTCTCTCGAGACGTTGGAGGTCTGGGCTCCCCCACTGCCCGTTCTCGGCTCTCTGTGCGCCGCGTGTCGGCCCTCGGCCCAAGCCACCGCAGCTCCTGCCATCGCTCGTAAGCCCTCGGAGGGCGCCCGGATCCAGACTGCGGCCCGCGCGCCTCGGCTTCACCCCCTGCCACCGCTCCGCCTCGGCGGCGCGCCGAGGGGAGAAGGTCGAGAGTTTCGGGTTCGGGGTTGTAGGTCGAGAGTTTCGGGTTCGGGGTTGTAGGTTTTCGGGCGTTTTCATCGGTCTTCAGCGGGATTTCCAGCCTCGGGAAGCGCGCCTCGCTGAGAGGCGTCTGTGGTCGCCCAGAGCCTGAGCTATGACCCGAACGCCAGACGACGAGGATCATTACGAGGAGGAGGAGGAGGAGGAGGACGAGGAGGAGGAGGGGGAGGAGGAGGAGGAGGAGGAGGGGGAGAAGGAGGAGGGAGAGGAGGAGGAGGGGAGGAGGAGGGGGAGGAGGAGGGGGAGGAGGAGAGGAGGAGGAGGGGAGAAGCAGGAGGAGAAGGAGGCGGAGAAGGAGGAGGAGAAGGAGAAGGAGGAGGCGGAGGAGGAAGAGGGGAGGAGGAGGAGGAGAAGGAGGAGGAGAGGGAGGAGGGGGAGGACGATAGTAGGACGAGGAGGAGGAGGAGGAGAAGGAAGGGAGAAGGAGGAGGAGGAGGAGGAGGAGGAGGAGGAGGAGGAGGATATTTTCACTAAAGCCATGATGAAAAAGCTCAGCAGCAAGATGCGAACCAGTTCAAGGGATACAACTTACATAATTGTGCATCTACACGTTCGTTCTGCAGCCGATCCTTCTCTCAAGCTATGTGTCGGAGCTTAGACGAGACTTGTGCGATAGACTAGCCAGGCGGTAGGCGGTAGGTGAAGCGTTTTGGCTCGTATGCAGCGGTGCAGACGTAACATTCAGGCAGCCAACGGCGCCGGCAGGCGCGGGTACAGCGTTGCAGGCTAGCGCCAGCAGGGGAGGGGGCCAACAGAGAGGAAGCAGCGGAGACCGGTGGACGAACCAGCCGAGCGGCGGCAGGAGAGCGACACAACAAGGGGGGAGGGAGGAACCGGAGGTGGGCACAGCAGTGTCACCTCGGGGCAGGAGCAACAGAGGGCTCCCAGTTGAGAGCGACAATTTGATCGTGCTCTCTCGGGGTGCGGCCTGCCGTCACGATACCGTATCAAACACGAAGTTGAAAATGCCATCGGCGTCGGCATTGACCTCTCTGTAAATATGCCAGATCTCGACAATGGCCACCCCGGGCGTGGATCGCAGACGCCTCAGAAGTCCAAGCGCTCGCATAAGCAGTGGCCGCAGATCGGGAGACAAGCATCTCCATGCTAGGTTAAGCTGTCAGGCAACCAGCAGGGAGTCAACATGGAATCGTAAGCAGGAGGTCAGGTTATTCAAGTCATGCGTGAACGCCAAGATACCCCCTCATATTCCGAAACGTTATTTTTGACGTTGCCCAGAAATCTCCTACAGGTAGCGTATACTTCCTGGATGCCTTCACGATACCTGACGCAACCGCATGACGATAGCCATGAGCCGGTTGCACCTTGATTGCGCGCTCCGCCGTCAGATGCGTACGCTTGCCGTAAGATGCGTACTCTGCGCAAGCTGCTGGAGAGGAGGAAGGGACCAGCTGGAGGAGGAGGAGGTGGGGGAGGAGGAGGAGGAGGAGGAGGAGGAGGAGGAGGAGGAGGTGGAGGAGGAGGAGGAGGAGGAGGAGGAGGAGGAGGAGGAGGAGGAGGAGGAGGGGGGAGATTTTGAGAGGGCAGGCCTTCTCAGAAAGCCGTGGGTTCCGGAGGGAGCCCTCTGGCCCTCAGAGGCCGCTTGCGGCCGCGGAGAAGGCCTGGAGGACTCCTGGGAGAAGGCCCGATGCCGTCTGAGCCTTCTGAGGAGGCCGGAGATCCGACGTCCCGACGAGACTTTCCCTGAGATCCGACGCTCCAAAAGCATTGGAGCGGCGGGATTTTAGCAGTTTTCGGCCTCCGGGGGCCCTGGCTGGGTCTTGGGAGCGTCAAAAACCGCTCGGGACGGAAAACCGGTCACGGGGAAGTGGTCGGGACCTTTGGGGTCCACGCACCAAAAAAGTTAGAGCAGCCGGATGTCTGGGACTGGAGATCTGAGGCTTCGAAGAAAGTTGCTTACGCCCCACCGGCCAATTCAGGAGCCCTGCCCATGAGAGCTGACGGGAAAAGGGACGAAGAGACACGGGAGGCTATCTTGGAGCATCGGAGACCTTCTTGGAGCTACGGGGCTGCGACGTCACGACAAGACACTGTAGATCCGAGGCTCCGAAGAAACTTCTAGCGGTCGGTTTGAGGCACTTTTCGGGGCCCAGGGGCCCGTCAACGTGCCCTGCCGCCGGACGTCTGGGGACGTCACGAGAAAGCTGCAATATCTCAAGATATTCGACCGGAGCCCTGGACGCCATCTTTCTGAGCCGTTTTTCAAGCCGGATCGATCCGTGGGGGTCCAGGACGGTCCAGGGCTTCCTCCTCCTCCTCCTCCTCCTCCACCTCCTCCACCTCATCCGCCTCTTAGGTGTTCGGTCGTGGACCCCTTGTAACCATCCAGCTTTCGCGCCGAAAACCGCTGGCAACCAGCAGAGACCGCCGAAGACCGCCGAAGACCACCAGAAGATCGCCGAACACCGCCAGAAGACGGCCGAGGACCGCCAAAGACCGCCCGCGGCAGATGGGTCCGTGGTCGAGTGCGGATCCCCCTCCGGCTCTGCCTTCGCCCCTGGGCGCGCCGCCGCCCATCGATGGCGGTAGGTCTGGCTGCCCGCCTGGGTCTCGCGGCGCCCGCGGCCGCGGCGCCCGCCCCCGACGCCTGGGGCATCGTCGGCCCGCCGCGGCACGCGCACGCCCCGGGCGCGAGGACGCCCCACAGCTTCAAGATGCCCGCCCAGACATGCTCGCGTCGAGAAGAAATCAGGGCGGGAGGTCTTCATCGTTTTCGGCCACTCGTTCCCCCCCGTTCCTCCTCCTCCTCCTCCTCCTCATCGGCTCCCTACTTCCTCCTCCTCCTCCTCCGCCCCCTCCTCTTCCTCCTTACAACCTCCTCCGCCCCTCCTCCTCTCATTCAGATTTTGATCATTGTCTCTCAGTGCTCGCTTCCCACTCACACTTCGCCTCTCACCCACAGTCATCCGACTAGCCCGCTCGCGCCGGTCGCGGGTAGGCGAACTCACTCTGCCGGCTGCTAGGTTTTTGCCATCGGCGTCCCTGTTCTGCGGCGGCTTGTAAGAAGGGTCGAGCGCATCCGTCATAGATGGAAGCCGCCGCCGCGAGCAGGGCAGCATTTGCGTTCACGAGTGTATGTAAGCCGTCTCGGACTGAGCGCGAGTGAGGAAGGGCACACGCGTGGCATAGATGCTGGGATCCCCGGAGCGCGAGAACCCGCGAAGTAACCGGACGCAGGACGACCGCGACCCCTTGACGATGGTTGTGACACATAAAGAGAGAGGAAGTCTTTTTTTCGATACTGTCTGTTGGGGAAGGGTTCGGGATTTCTAGGGACCGCGGCTGAAGAAAAACAGGACGTCGCATTCCTGGGAAGGCCTCCAAAGTTGCCCACTCGTTCCCCCTCGTCTTTCCTACTCCTCTTCCTTCTCCTCCGCCTCCTCCTCCTCCTCCTTCTCCTCCCTTTTTCCTCTGCACCGAAAGCGCCCAAGCAATCACTGTCACGGGCAGCTCGTGGTGCCATGTTGTTGGTGCCCCGCGTGTCTCTCCCAGGCCAAGGTTCACAGCATTAAATTTCCTGCTTCAGCTCGGCTTGCGCGGAGTTCTGGGTTTGCCTGGTGACTCTCTGACTCGCACTGCTCATCACCGAAGGTGTCGAACCCTGGTGGTCGCGCCGCCTACCTTCACAATTACCTTGGCGAAGGACCCAACCATATGCGGATGCGAGTATCGCAAGCCAGCTGGGGCTTTCGGTGGAGCTCCCTATGGGGCCAAAAAACTTGTGAAGGGTGTCCCGAGTCGGGTGGGGGGACGCATGCGAACACCGCCACTGGGGCCTTACGTGGAGCTCCCCATGCGGCCATGAAACATGTGTGGGGTGTCCCGAGTCGGGTGGCGGGGACGCATGCGAACCCCGCCATTGGGGGCCTTCGGTGGAGCTCCCAATGGAGCCACGAAACGTGTGAGGCGTGTGCCAACATGGGTGGCGGGGACGCACGCGAACACCGCCGATGGGGCCTTCCCTATGGGGCCACGAAGCGTATGCTGGATCGGGTGCGGGGGCGCATGTGAACACCGCCACTGGGGCCTTCGGTGGAGCTCCCCATGCGGCCACGAAACGTGTGAGGGGTGTCCCGAGTCGGGCGGCGTGGGCGCATGCGAACACCGCAACTGGGGCCGTCGGTGGAGCTCCCTATGCGGTGTGTCCCGAATCGGGTGCGAACACCGCCACTGGTGTCTTCGCTGGAGCTCTCAATGGGGCACGAAACGTGTGAGGGTGTGCCAACGTAGGAGGGAGGAGGAGGAGGAGGAGGAGGAGGAGGAGGAGGAGGAGGAGGAGGAGGAGGAGGAGGAGGAGGAGGAGGAGGGAGTGACGCGGGGCGCTGTCTCTTCAAAACCAGGTTCCAACACCGCAGGATGGCTGGGGATAAAAGCCCAGACCTTTTGTTTCGTCGTTTTCGCATTCTGGGGGCCCTCGTCGGGCCCCGGGACCGCTAGAGAACAATCCGCGGGACGCACGCCGGTCCTGGTGAAGTGGTCCAGAGTGCGGGGGCCGTGTCGAAAAGATCGAGGCGTCGGATGTCTCTGGGCTGGGGGTCCCAAGACTCGGTGGCGCGCGCAGGGGGGAAGCTCGAAGTGTTCTGGTGTTTTCGTCGCCCCCTTGAGGTTTCCCCGCCTCAGGGTGCTTTCACTGGCTGCGCCTCGGCGACCCTGACTCCAGATCCGCCGTACTTTAGCTGATTCTCCGACTTAGGAATTGTTCGGACATGCATCCCAAGCGATGCCAAAAAGCGTATGGAAACTTTCTGTTTGTCGTGTCCGCAATGGTATTGCGGAAACGGCGGCGGTAAAGTAGGGCGGACACCGGCATGAAACGAGTGTGGCAATTAGGGCACAACTTCCACCCTCCTCGCGAATTCGCCCACAAAGTACGGCTGATCCATACGCAGGGGAAGGAGTTCCGGGGTTGCCCGAATCGCCCCGAGCGGCCGCCGAAGGCCCGAGTAACGACCCCCAAACACCCGACTCGGCGGTGCGCGCGGGGGCTGCAGCGTGTCTCGAGAAGCGTTGTCCTACTCGTTCCCAGTACGCGTGCCCGAAGCCTTTTCCGCAGGTCCTTCGCAGTTTCTTCGAAGCTCCGTCGAGGCTCCCTGTCGAAGCTTGCAAGCTCCCCGGGCATTCCCGGGCGGCTGTCAGAGCCAAGAGAGTTTCAGATTAGGAGCCGGGGTGGCAGAGGGGGCGGGCCGCTTCAAGAGGCTCAGAAGGCCTGAGAAGCTCCAGAGTCCAGGACTTCTCTAGCGTTTCGGCGAAGGCCGAGAGCTCGGGGCCTCCGAAGCCGCGGGGGGCTTCTCGGAAGGCCTCGGAGGGCTCGCGAGAAGCCGCGGTGCCTTCCGAGCAGGCCCGCCACCTCCCACGTCCCTTCCTCGGCGCGCCGCCGAGTCTGGCGTTCGGCCGAGAGCCTGGGGCCTTCGGCGGCCTTCAGGGACGATCCGGGCACCTCCTGGACGCCCTCGGCGAGGCGCGGCGGCCGGAAAGCACCTCGAGACTGGAAGACCTTGTTGGCGAACCGACGAAGCGTCAGAAAACGTCGAGCCTTCCCCCTCGGCGCGCCGCCGAACGGTGCGGTGGCCACACCGTCGGGTGAGTCGGCGGGGGGGGGGCACTTGGGCTGGCCGCACGGTCTCGGGGCCCCGCCCTGACGTCGGATCCGCAATGCTTTGGGCGATTTCCCAGGAAGGGCGGACGTGTCCGCCCCACTGCTCAAGCTCCTTGGATGTTGAGTTCCGTGCTGGATCCCACATGCGTAAGCCGGAACTTTCCGCGGTCGTTGTTTGCACTGCTTGGGAGGCATAACCCAGGCACCTCTGGAACGCTTCTGCGAGGCGCAGCCGCTGGAATACATCCCGAGGCTGGAGAGCCGCCGAGAGCATGCGAAAGCGCCTGCTGAAAACCTCAAACCTCAAACCCTCCCCCTTGAACCGTCTCCATCGAGTGGGCCCGAGCTTGGAAGTCAACCAAAGTACGTCGGATCCGGCGTCAGGGGGGTGAGGTCGTTCTCCGAGGCAGTGCCTCGGGCGAGGGGGAGCCCCCCAAGGCACGGCCCCGAGACCTTGCGGCGGCGGACCGTGCGGCGAGGTCTTTCGGAACTTCGAAAGGGGGGAGTGTCGAGCGGCTCCGCTCCCCCTCCGCCTTCTCTACCTCTTCCTGCTGTTCCACCGCCTCTGCTCCTGCGCCTCCCCCTCCTCCTTCTCCTCCTCCTTCTCCTCCCGCTCTTGGCCTCCTCTTGCTCCTCGCGCCCGCCTCCTGCCCCCTCGCCGCGCGCGATGGAACTGGGTCTGGTGCCTCGGCCGCGACGTCCGAAGCGGTCTGCCGCTGAGCGCCGCGCCGCCATCGAGCGCCACCGCGGTCAGTGGTCTGGCCATGGCGCTGCAATTGGCGCTTGCGGGCGTGCCCGTAGATGCGGCCGAGGTTGTCGAGGAAGAGGAGGAGGAGGAGGAGGAGGAGGAGGAGGAGGAGGAGGAGGAGGAGGAGGAGGAAGAGGAGGAGGAGGAGGAGGAGGACGGGGAGGAGGAGAAGGAGGAGGAGGAGGAGGATACGATGTCGACGGAGGTGGTGATGGTGGCGGCACCGCCTGCGCCGAGGGCTCGTGTGCCCCCGCGGGCCGCCCTGTTGTCCCGAGAGGCGCCGCGCCCCTGGACCCCGCTGCTGCCGCGACTGCGAGCGCGCTGGTGGCCAACACGCGCAAGTGTTCGGCATCGGCACAGGATCTCGTCGCCGCCCTGGGGGAGCTGGCTGCCGCTGAGGCCGCACCTGCAGCCGCAGGTCTCCCCGTCCCTCCGCCGTTAGAGTCGTGACGGTGGTCCCGCCGCCACGCCGTGCCTTGCGGTCGAGGCCGCTGGCCCGCATTGGCACGGCACTGCTCCTGCGGTCGAGGCCGTTGGCCCGCGCTCGGCAGGGGGCCCTGCGTTTGTTGTCAAGGTCGTTGGCCTGCGTTTGGCGGGAGCCGCTTGGGGGGCGTTGCGTGGCGTCCTTCCTACATCGACCCTTACTTGTACACCATTTTCAAGGTGCTGACGGTGAGCGTGCCGCTCCGCCCCGCTGGGCTGCCGCCGCTTCCGCGCTGTGGGATCCGCGTCTTGGTGCTCCGATCCTCCTCCTCCTGCCCGTGGTTCAGCATCTGCAGCTGGAGGTCATCGGCAAGACGCCGACGTGCAGCGGGCTGACGGGGTCGCGCGCATCGTACCCCGGGAGCGTGCTCACGGCGGAGGAGCGCGCCCCCCGCCAGTATGGAGGCGGGGCGCTCGCATCGCGGTTTTGGACGCCTCAGCAAGCTGAGGCACCAGGAGGCGCACCCAGACGTGGACCACCTCGGCGACCTGGTTCGTCCTGGAGGGCAAGGGCGTTGGCGGGTCCACAATGGGCGACCACTTTTCCTGCCCAGCAGCGTGATGGATGCGTTGCTAAGAGCAGCAGAGAGGAGGACCTCGACGGCGCGGGCGTGAACGTCATGATGAACCAGTCTCGCTTTCGAGCCGATGACTGTCGGATCGATGAGGCCGTGAGCGTAGCCGTGGACTTGGAGGCCAAGCTGGCGGAGGCCAGCGCTGCGTACGTGGCCGTCTGCGGGGCGGCTCTCGGCGTGGGCGTGGTCGCGCCGCAGTACTTGAGCAAGACCGTCACCGTGGCGGGGTCCTCCGA